AAACCTTTTAACTCCCTATTTTCAGTAAGCGTGGATTTACAATTTTTAGCTTATATGATACACGAGAATGCTGTTGATAGTATGGCATTGTTGGTCAAACTTAATTGTATCAAGTTTTAAACCTGTTCACATTTGTTGGTTCTTATTTGCTGATTCATACAAGGGTTGTCTTTTTGGTTTTGCTGGTATATGTTTTAGTTTCACATTCATACATGCAGATGATTTCTGGTTTCACATGGTCTCTGTCAATTTGCTGACACTTCTGATAATAGGTGATTTTTTGAATTACATTTATGTTTCCTATAGGGTGTCAAAGAGGTTTGGTGTCCCATTTGCAAGCAAGGGGAGTTGAAAGAGAACTGTCATCTTATCTGTTGCACTCTTTGTGGACTTAGGCTCAACAGAGATGATGAGGTTAGTCTCTTTTTATTTCAATGTCTTATGTACTTTTCAGTTTTCTAATTTTTTTAATTATTTGATAAGTAATTAGAGACTTTTCTGAAGGTTTTTGAATTTACAATAACTGCTGTCTTGTTTGCATCAAATTACACCCTTGTTTAGTTACTTTCTTAGGTTTTAAGTGAAAAATGTTTCCCCACCACAGCCTTGCGCTTTCTTGTTTATTTCTTGTTTGTGGGAGGGTTTTATCTGCAAACCAGAATCTTTTGTATACCGGATTTGTAACTGTTGCTATAACTTACTATTGTGAAGTGATAAGTATGACATTCTGGGTATTGGTGCAGGGTTGAAAACTGGTAAAATTAGTTGTTGGAATATTTGTTTTTGTACTTAGGGAATGCTTTTCTCTCTTTGCATTTTGTATCACTTGAGTTTATTTGCTCCTTAGTTAACATTTGAGTCTTATGCATGTATATGCCTGCATTATAGGTTTAGTGAAGAGTAGGTAGTTGTTTTATACTGGAATATATTCAAAATGTTTTTTTTTTTTAAATATGTTATCTGATGGTCTTTTTTTTTCCAGGTCAATCTAGAGGTAGTACGAAATAGATTGGCTGAAGCTCATTCAGACCATCTTGATCAAGGATGCAGGTTAAAGCCTAAATTTTGTGTTGAAACTAGATTTACTCTGAATGCACTGTACATTACCTGTCAGGGATGTGACATGTTTGAGGTTGTGATATAAGCAGTTTCTTCTTAAGCTATGTTCTCTTCCTTCTTAGTGTTCTTCCTATGATTGTAATGGTTGTATCATTCAAGTGGGCACGTTCAGTTATAGTTGATATGTTTGCTGAAGTTGATCAGCGAGGTGGAGGAAAAAACTATTTATCTTTTTTCTTTTTTTGTGTTTGATCCAACGACATCCCTAACTTCATACAAGCGATTTACATACCTCAATGCTGCTCCTCTCTTATCCGACCAGAGGGACGCTCCTCTCTAGCCACTTAGTAAGTTCAGCTTCATATGCTGTTCAACTGTGTTTCTTTCACAATGGGAACCTCTATGTTTGGACCATTATTAAAAGCAGAAATGCTATAGACAACCAGTTCAGTTCTATCTATCAACTTTGATAGTGTGAATATGGATTTATAATGCAACAGCAACCTCCGGGATTGCAAGATTTTTCCTAATTTTGCAAAAACACTAGTAAAATTTGGAACAGATAATCTCCGCTCGATTTAAGCAATTAATTGATATATTTTGCTCCACAACAATAAAATTATACTTTGACTACAAGAGATAGGGGTGAATAACACCCTCCTCCCCTCAAGTGTGGCACTTCAACTATAAGCTTTAATTTGAGAATCATATGTTAGCACCCGCAATAACAATCATATAAAATCCCAAAAAGTGATGGAAAAGAGTATTTTCTGCACGTAAAACAAAATTTTCACATAAATGAATAGGAAATTACATAGGATTAAAAAGTGATGGAAAAGAGTATTTTCTGCACGTAAAACAAAATTTTCACATAAATGAATAGGAAATTACATAGGATTTTACATCTTGTGTGATCCTCAGCTCAACAATATTACAATGCTCCTACCATGTTGCATATAGCTAACAACAATGACTATCTCTTTAAGTACAAACAAATGCAAGCTTAACTGGAAAGAAACCAAAAAAGAATATTGAAGACAAATGATCACATGCAGAGAGACGGTGACCAAATGCAATATAGAAGCATAACATGATTGGAAACAATGCTATTCTACACCAACCAGTTACTTCAAGTGCCAGTTACCCACATGACTCTGGCATTAACATCAATTTACAGCAACACAGTAAAAATTTACTTTATCATCATGGCCAAAAAGACCATCTTTAGCAGTCCACCTAACGCCACATGCTGGGGAATGCTAGATATCAGAGGCATCGCAATGACGAGCTACCACCTCTTCAATTGAAAAGTCCAAAAGGGAGCTACAGCTACTCAAATGCAGCATCTAGAAGAGTTCCTCAGAATTGAGTTTGTTCCATGCTTCCTGAAAAATACAACTTGAGAATAAGCTAAAGAGTGTTGTGCAGTCAGAAATAACAAAGGCAGGAAAAGGATATTACGATGATAATTTTGGCAAAAAGTAAGAAAATAACTCAAGCTAAGCAATACAGAAAAGGATGCAGAAATCCTGACCACTTAAAATCAACAGATTGGAGAAAAGAAGTGAGTAGTCGGGAACATATGGATGATAACAACCAGAAAAAAAAAGACTGTCAGTAGGTCCACCAAGCCTACAGCAACAATGGAATGTTAAGACTCTTCATGCCTTAACAGAGGAGTCTATTTTCACATCTGCTTTACAATAATATCAAACCATGACAGTTGCTGGAAATCTATTACATGTCTCATCCAAAAAAAAAAAAAATTAATAAATAATTTGTGGCACATGAATCTAAGATGCATTGACCATTGTTAAGTACCTTAAGTAGGTCAAAAACCTTCTCGGCAATATATTTTTGTTGAAGGGTGGCACCTTTCTGCTGCACCTTATCAGGATGAATACACAAGGTTGCTTTTCTATATACTTTTTTGACAGAGGCGCCCGTAATCAAATCCGTCAAGGACACAGGCTGCCAACCACATTCAGGCCAAAGCACCTGATGAATAAAAACAAGAGAAAATTACATCATAAGGAGAAGAAAAAAAGTTGAAGTGACTTTGAACACCAGGATGATATTATTATTAAGAAGTGAAGAAAATTCAAACATTTGAGGAATAGGATAGTCAAGAACTTGATAACCTAATCAAAACTAGATAAAAAAGTTTATGATTTCCAAGAGATTTGAAACAATAGTCACTCTTATGAATTTCCATTTCAGAAACTGGTAGTTTCATTTTCCTTTTTCAACGATAGTGTTCAAAGTGGGAGGGCTAAGGGTAACTATCTCCACGAAAATATGATTGACTAGCAACCAAACACGACAATACAGACTAAGTTGTTTGTATGTTTTCTTTTGGCACCTATATCTATATTTTAGAAGAAACACCAGTATTCCTTCAGGTGGTAAGGGTTTTATTGGGAGGGGGATTATGTTAAACAAAATATGGGCAAATTATGTATGGTAACCAAACGCACATATTGCAAAGTCGATAGAAGTGCACGCAGATTTCCCTCTTTTCCAGCAGCCCATCGCTTGATCTCAAAATCTAATGTTTCAGCAATTCTCTGCAACAATTAGTAAACCAATAAGATCAAAAAGAATAAACAGCAACAGTCAAAGAAGCAAAGGATGATGATACAAATAAAACTTAAAGAGGAACAAGGAAAAAGCAAGCTCATCTTTAGAATGCAAGTTCAACCAAGAAACCAACAACACTTGACTCATGTTTATTCACTAAAAAGTGACATGTATAGAGGCAAGGAAACAAGGAGCAATATTAATTTTCCTTGCTTTAACTCGATTTATTCAGCACTTCAAACTACCGCTAAAAAAATCAGCACTTCGAACTAAGTACTGCTGTAGTCAATATATAACTATGGCTACCTCGATTTCGCATATTAACACAATCGATCAACTACAACTCGATCCGAATTAGTTGAGTTAGCTATATGGCTTCTTTATGTTGATTCTTGCTCTATTCAGTCTCTTTCATTCCAAACTAAAAAATTATCTATTAAGGCAATATGTGAGTGCCTTTCAAGCAGCAGCAGCAAAACTCTCCAAATAGTGAGTTGCTGATCAAAATGGCCGTGTTTGCTGGGATTTTCAGTAATAGATTCAACGTTGTATTGTGAATAGTAGCTTAGTTGTTTAGTCACCTTACACGTGCATATTATTCTGTAGAGGCTTTGAAGCTGGTATCTTTATGTATGTCATTAGCAAGATGTACTGCTCTGATTCTTCAATTCGCTGCTTTATATTTAGGGAAAATGAAATAAGAAAGGTTGTGGTACCCTATATCCGAAAGAATAATAAGAAAAAAGCCGATTGGATAATTTCTATTAGAGAGGCTACGGGATTAGACCCATCAAAAAACAAAACAAAAAATATGTTACTATGAAAGATAACCCTCGAACAAGTTCTCAGGAGTTCTCTAAAACGAAAAATTCCCTGAATCTCAGATTTATCTTAGATAAATATCCAGTCTTTAACCAGAACAAAAGAGTCCTAACAAACAGCATACATAATAAGTGTAACAACAACTAAATTATTTGCTTCCATTATGTTCTGTTCTTATTACTGGGTTGTTGTTGTTGTTGTATGTTCTGTTCTTAGCTAAGTCTTCATCGATTCAGAGAGACTATAAGTCCTTTGAAACAACTATACTCCTAGTGATTTTAGGTTTACTCCACCCATTTTTTATTTTTCCATATTCAATCATCATATTGTCACACCTACGAAGTACAAACCGATAAATATAGACTTCTACATAGGACATGACATATCATTGCATGCGACCTTTCACTTATCCTCTGTGTGCTACTTGCACCATCTATCAAATGTTTTTATTTTTAATCTTGTCCAATCTTATGTCCATATTAACTCTCGTATTTCCACTACATTCATCTTCTGGATATGTGGAGCGCTATAACATCCCAATACTCACTCCCTACAACATTTCTAGACGCACAACTATTCAATTGTACTTGCCTTTGAATTTGTTAAATATCTCCATATCATATAGTACTATTTAACATTCCTCCATTCCAGCCATCATATTTTAATTCAATGTGATACATCTTCATTTATTAAGCCATTCTCAACTCCTAGAGCGTAGAAATTTGAAAGTATCTTCATTTAGTGACTACAATTGGAAACAAACGGATACCAAAAAATTTCATGGCTTGGTGATATTAAGAATGAAGTTAAGATATAATATCAAAACCAGTCATTGGAAAATAATTCTAATACAATTCTTGTCAAGCACAAAATTTAAGCAAAAAAATTGAGAACTCAGAGGCATGTCCATATAAGAAAAGAACAATAAAATTAAGTGTAGTGGCATAATCTCAAAAGTCGACAAATTAATCACATCTGCAATCTTTCATACAATAGACAGGAGCCACGCACAACCATACAAAATGCTAATTTCTGAGACTCGTGAATTTTACATTGTAGGAAGAAAAAAAAGCTTGTTAATAATAATCCAACCGCTACTTGCTAAGAGAGCAGCACTAAACAATAAATCTTTCATCTAGTTGTAATTTCTTCAATTACTTAATTCATACAATTTTTGTTTCTGCTTATAGTGATTATTCTTCAACTACACATATATACCTCTTTTTTTCTTTGTTAAAGCATGCGTTCCATTTGCGTTTTGGGCTTAAAGCCCCATCCTAAGTGCATTTATCGCTTTTGCCCTTTGATAACACGGCTATGAGAGTCAAGTGGCTACCTTTTGGGTTAAGGCAGGACAAGCATATCAACAGCAAATTTCTATTTATAGCTTTTGCTAGTTATTTGTCAAAACAGAACTTACATGTCTTTCTTCCTGCTCCCTCAGCACTTGAAGGTCACGCTGATTCTTTTCAGCCAACGCTTTAGCCTGAGCACATACATATCAACTATGAATAAATACATAAACAATGAGCACCAATAGACTACATGCTAAAAGCTGTAAAATATCCAGCATGACTAGTAAGAAAATATTATTTGTCAGGATATATACCGCACGCTCTTGTGTACGTTGATGGCGTTCAAGTCTGGATCTTCTTCTTTCTTCAGTTTCCCCTTCAACATCTTGGAAATCTCCAGATGATGCAGAAGCTGGTGAAGTTCAATAGTACACAATAAAGCCAGGAGAAACAACTTAAAAACCAAATCAGATACATAATGTTTGTGCATGAAGACACGACGATTTACCTCCAAAAATGGAAGAAAGATCATCCACGAAA